AACCTGGCCTTGAACACTTCCAGGGATGGGACACCCACATGCTCAAGCCCACAGGTCTTGGATGCTCTTTTGATCTTTCAGGACACCAGCCCTCACTCAAGCTGCCCTTTATTTAAGCAGCTGGTGCTTCACAGGTTATTTCCAGACCCCTCAAGTGCAGAAAGTCTTTCACCTCCCCTGGCCCTGGGACTATTCCAGCAGCTGCAACTACTTCATTTTTCATTTACTCAGCACACCTCGTCCCCCAAACCACAGCGAAACGCTGTGGCATCCACGACTGCAGCACAGATACGGCAGGTGGAGGCCACAAGTGCGTTTTTGGCTGTTATTTTTAAAACCTTGCTTTTGTAACAGGAACTTCGCACAGGAAACGGGGTGCACAGCAAACTCCAGGGCTGTGGTTTGTGACAGCACCTCCATTTCCGAGGGGCCATTGCTAGTCCTGGCTTTGGTTTCTTCTCCCACACGGCTCAAAGGCTTCTTCAGCGGGGTGGGGAGGATGAGCTGTCACCTCACGGGTGGCAGGGCCACCACAGCTTCAGCCCTCCCTGTTCTCATGGCCAAAGCAATGAGTGAGATGGAGGGGATGGTGTTTTAGCCATCCCAGACTAATCCTGCACTCAGGTAGGCCAGGAAAACACACATCCCAGGAGCTCTCCTATCCCCCCTCCCAGCCCTGTGGAACTGATCCAGCAGATCCACCAAAGCACATGGACACATCCAATGGTGGGAGACATCCTGTTGGCTTCCCGAGGGCTGGATGGGACCCTGGCATGCTCAGCCTTCTGTGGCATCCACAAATTCAGGTTAAGAAAGGAGCTGAGGCCGAATCCTGTCCTGATCCATCCACACAGCTCCAATCCGCACGCCTGGAGACCTTTTCCGAGCAGTAGGCATCCCGTAGGGGGGTTGCTCCAAGGCTTTTCCCAGCCTCCCTCTCCTTTCTGGTGCTCCGTGTCACAGCTCAGGAAGGGGTTTTGGCTTCTCCTGGAGCTCATTTTCCTGGCAGCTAATGGAGCCTTAAATACCCATCTGGGGCTTCGGGCTTCTCAGCTGACAGTTGTCTCTGATGGGATTTTTTTGCAATAATAGGAAAATTGATGGGCTTTTGTTTTTTTATTCCCCCTTCTGAGCTCAAAACCAGGAACAAACCGCTTGGTACAATTTGTTCATGTCTTGGGAAGTGTTTGTTTTCTTCCTTTGCTTCCATGTTTAGCTCATGTGTCTTGCCCCTAACAATGTCCATATAGAATCCTAGAACTGTTTACGTTGGAAAAGCCCTCCAAGATCACCCAGCCCAACCATTCCCCCAGCACTTCCAAGGCCACCACTGACCCATGTCCTCAAGTGCCACATCCACATGGCTTTTAAATCTCTCCAGGGATGAGGACTCCACCATTGCCCTGGGCAGCCTGTGCCAGGGCTGGACAACCTTTTCCACAAGGAAATTTTCCATAATATCCAACCTAAACCTTCCCTGGTGCAATTTGAGGCCGTTTCTTCTTGTCCTGTCACTTGTCAGTCAGAAGAAGAGCCCAGCCCCCGCCGGCTCCCCCCTCCTGTCAGGGGGTTGCAGAGCCAGAAGGTCCCCCCTGAGCCTCCTTTTCTCCAGGCTGAGCCCTCCCAGCTCCATCAACTGCTCCTGGTGCTCCAGACCCTTCCCCAGCTCTGTTCCCTTCTCTGGACATGCTCCAGCACCTCATACATCCTCCCAAGGGTCATTGGCGTTGTTTTCCCTAAGAGAAGATTTCCTGGGTGGGCCCAGTTGGAGAAAACACTCTGGGTTTATAGGAAAGCTTCATGAATTTCACATAGAGCACTCAACCTCTGGAGTTTGCTACCTGCGGCTGGGAGGGTGTTGGGATCCTGCTCCATCCCTGGTGGGTTTTAAAGGATGGCTGTGGCACTGTGGACATGGAAGGGACCAGCCCTCCTGTGCAGGACAGGGTGGACTGGATGGGTGGATTTCAACTCTTTTAAACCAAAACCCATCTGACTCGTTTTTAGCAAAGCCAGACATCATTTTTCTTACCAAGCCTTCCCATCCCCGTCCCTTATCTCATGCCAACAGCCTCACTCACTCCCCTGGCAAAACAGGCCAGGGTTTCGGTGCCTTGGCTTGCTATCCATGGGTTAAAAAATAATTCAACCCACTTATGGGCTGGTTGTGCCTCACAGCCCTGGCTGGGGTGCCTGGCAGCCCCAGCACTGCTGCCTGCCCAGGCACGTGCCTTCCTGCTTCCAGAATAGCTGAAAAATGCAGGCAGACAATAATAATAAAAAAAAAAAAAAAAAAAATGAGCTCTTTGCAAGAACCAAACAATTTGTCGGGAAATGAGCTTGTGCAAAGTTGTGCCTGGATCTCGTGAGCTGAAAAAAACCCCAGTCTGTCCAGAAAAGGAGAGGGATGCAGGGGGGAGGTGATGCTGGTGGCACCGGTGGCAGCGAGGGACGAGGCAGCTGGCAGTGCTGGAAGGTGGCAGGGACATAAAACGGGCTCCAAAAAGAGCTCTGTTGGGGCGAGACACATCCTCGAGCTGAGCAGCGTTTCTTTATTGCCTCCATTAAGCATCAGGTCCATCCCTTCGGGAACGGCTGGGAGCGATCTGGCAAGGAGGGGTCCCGTGGGGAATGACTGAGCAGTGCAAGGAGCCTGGGAGGAGGATGGGATCAGAGAGGGCTCCACAGCAGCTGTCACCTCTTTGGCTGGCGATCCCTGAGCCCCTGGGCTTTTTTGGTTCTTATTTAGCAACATTTACAAACCGAACCGCGCGTCGTCGGGATTTTTTATTTCAATTTTAACTTGATTTTTAATTTATTTTCCTTTTATTTTCGTTTTTTTTCCCAAGCTCAGCAAGAAGAAGGGGGATCTAAGCTTTGACATAACCCCCGAACCATATACGTTTGGGCACTAAAAAATCGTCTTGCCCAAGGGACCGATTCGGGGTCGAGAACATCCGTCGCCTCCTTGCTCCTCGTGCTCAGGCCGGCTGGGAGCGCAGTCCTGGCCGGGGACGTGCTGCCATCTCTGGAGAGGACGGGGTACGGCAGTCCCGGGCCCCAGGAACGTCGAGGAGCGATGATTTCTCTGCTGGGAGGCCGCCCTGGCGCGCAGCCCCGAGCACAAACCCCGTTGGCTGCGGCCGGCGCTTGGCTTGCCCGGAGGCAACAGTGGCCGGCTGGAGACTCCAGGTCTGCTCCCACAGCAGGCAGGACACCAGGAAGGGCAGAATTCTCACTGAAAGTGCTACCCAAGCGTGTCAAGGTCACTGGGACTTGCACGGTCCCAGCTGGGACACAGGGATGCTGCAGGGACAGGAGGGTCACCCTGACAGCCTGCAAACCCCCACTGCGCTCGTGGCTCCAGGATTTGTTCCCTGTGATGATAAACTCATGGATGGGCCAGAGACCGTGGTGTTTGCACCATTTTAGGGCTCAGATGGAGTCTATTCTTTCACCTTCATAAAGAACTTGCTTTGTTTTGTGTTGATTTAATTACTGCTCTCCATGGGTCATGGTTACCCTGAGCTCTGAATACACATATCGTGGGGAAGAGACTTTTCCTGGGATAGGGACCTTTCCTGGGACAGGGACCTTTTCTGGGGCAGGCACCTTTTTTGGGGCAGGGGCCTCTCCTGAAGCCTCTCTGGGAGTGAATCCTTGCTGGGATCATGGGCAGATGATGCCCTGTCCCAGTCTGGGCACACACAGAGCACCCACAGCTCACGCTAATTGTTGGATCAATGATCTTGGAGGTCTTTTCCACCTTAACAATTCTGTGATTCTGTGTTGCTGAACACTCCCAGCCTGGCCATGCCTGGTCCATCTATCCTGAGGGGAGCAGGGATCTGTACAGTGAAGGAGACCTCACGTTAGGGGGGATGACAGCAAGGTTTTCCAGAACCATTATCTCATCTGGCCACGGTGGAACAGGTCCAGGGAAAGCCACGGCGCAGGCTCAGAGCTGTTGACTCTGTAGCCCCACGTGAGCCATCTGCAAGTCAATACCAAGCCAGTAACATGAAACCAGTGCCTGAACCAACCCTCGCTTCATTTCTTTCTCCTTAGAAAACCCTGAGGAGAGACATCAGCTTGAAGGTCCACCCAGAACATCCCCAAACAAAGCTCTTCCCTTTCCCCCAGCTGGGAAAACCTGGCTGATCAAACAGCCAGAGCCAACCCAAGCAGGTCACCTCCAAAATGCCCCAAGATAGAGTTCCTTCCTTCAAAAGCAGAATCTATTTGACACCAAGAGTAAATATCACGTGAGAGCGGGCAGGAACACGGCTACACCTTGCAAGGCTTAACTAAATAGAGGGAAATATTCTCCCTGTCTCCTCCAAGGACACCAAGCAGTTGGTCATCATAATTTTTTTGGCCTAAATGGCCACTTGAGGCAGATATTAAACCCAGTTAATACGTGTGGTTGAGGGGAAATGGACCTTTCATTAAAATGATCGTTCGTCTGCACGCTTGCACCGAGAGCTCGTACCAGGCTCTGTGTTCTCTCAATTATTGCTATTATTAAGGCTTGGGATGATCATAAATACTGAATTAAAATAATTACAGCAGGACAGGTACATCTGAGTAACACAAACGCAACAGCAGCGCTTGGAGGAATCGATTTTCCAGAGAAGAGCAAGATAAGGGCAGGGAAACCACAGCCCTGCTCAGGGGATATGGAGGATCCTGATGGGCATCCCAGAGAGAGACCCTCCCTGCCCTCCGGCTCCTCGTCACACCAGGAGCTGCTGCTCGACTTTCGGAGTCTCCACGCCCCCAAAGGCTCCCTCACACCCCTCACCCAGTCCGGGGACACCCCAAACCAGCTCCAGATAACCCCCCTTGGCACGGAAGGGGATCACGCACGGGACGAGGCGATGGAACAGGGCTCTGAACCACTTTATTCGACGGGGACACACACACAGTTCTCCTCCCTGCGTGTCCTCCCTGCCCTGAAGCCACACGCCGAACCCCTCCTGCTTTCCCGGAGCCGGGCGCTCCCCAAACCCTCCACAAAGCGCTGCTGCTCGGAAAATTCACAGGTTACCCGGGAGCCCCGCCCCGGTTCCTCTCCCGGGGCGAAACGCAGCCTGGGGAGGGGACAGAAACCCTTCGCAGCGCCCCTCGCCGCGAGCTGGACGCTCTGTCCCTCCCTGCCACAGCCCTGTGCCGCCTCGGGATGCTCCAGGGCAGGAATGGGGGGCCGAAGGCTCCTCATCCTCACCAGCAGCCGCCGGCTTCTGCCGGAGCCACATCTCAGGGGATGCCGAGCTGCGGCGGGTCTGTCCTGCGCCAGCCTGGGGGACAGAACTGGCCGTCACCACCCGGGTCGGAGCCTTTCAGGCTGGATTTGCGGTAGTGGAGCCTCCGGCAAACCCTGCGGACGAACGAGCGGAACACGGAGGTGCGGAAGATGATGAAGACCCAGGGATCCACGATGGAGTTCACGGAGAGGAACCGCAGGGCACTGAGGTCGGCGTTCTCGTTGATGTCGGCGGCGAAGGCCCCCATGTACGCCCGGATCTGGCAAAGGAATCAAGGAAGCAGGGAAAAATTAGGGAAGATCTTGCTACAGCCATAAAAAAAAAAAATCCCTGCGGGGGCAGGAAAAGAAGTTTTAACCCCTCGATACCCCTACACATCACACCAGCACGTGTTGTGGGTTGCAGATCCGACCGGGAGCTGGGGCTGGATCACGGCTGGTTATGGCACAGGGATTCCATGTCAGGGCCAGGATGTTAGAGCTGGAGAGTGGGATTGTTTCATGGATGAAGGAAGCATTCAGCCTCCACGGGTTGCAGCAGTGGGTGCTGGTTGGGGCACCCCACTCGTGCTGCCCCCGCTGCTGTGGATGCTGGACTCAGGATCCGTTGGATAACTTGGCAGGGATTCACCCTGATTGATTGAGAATCTTGGCAGGGATTCACCCCGGGGGTTTGGGAAATACGGGGCTTTCACTGAGGTGATCACAAAACCAGTATGAGCCAGTTGTGCCAGGGCTGCTGGCGGCTGATGTGTCACTGTTTTGATTCCAGAGGTGATAGAGAGCACAGGAAAAGGAGGTGGCAGTTGTCACCAAGGGCAGTGGCAGCACCTGCAGATCCAACCCCCACCCTGTGGCACTGGCTCTGCCTACAGAGGGTGATGCCAAAGTGGGGCTGCAGGATCCGGCCCCAGGAGCTGGAGGGGGGCAACAAGAACTCTCTCATGCTGGGGGGTCTCCCATCCCCACCCCACTAATGGGAGCCCCATTCCTGAGGGAGAAATGGGAGGATTTCAGAGGGTGTTTCCCCCAGGTCATGAAATCCGGTGCAGTTCAAAGGGTTTGCTCAGCATCTTTGGGACAGGGGGCTGGGAATGGGGGGGATTACTGAAGGGACTAATGCAATGAACTGACATCCCCCCAAAACTTAACCACCTCTGGGGCAGCCCCAGAGGAACAGAAGGGTGGTGATGGAAGGGGTGGGTGGGTGTTGTTCCAATGGAGTTAAAGCAGCAAGGAGATCCCTGTGGGGGGACGGGGGACCCTCCAATGAGACCAAAACAATTACCTGACCCCCCTCAAACACCTCTGGGACAGAGTGGTGGTGATGGGAGGGGTTATTCCAGGAGGGTTAAAGTACTCTGGGGACAGAGGGCTGAGAGTGGGTATTCTGGGGGGGCAATGGAATGACCTGACCCTCCCCAGGGCAGAGTTGGGTTGGATGAGGGGTATTCCAAGAAAGTTTGAGCAATAAGTCAACCCCCAGGACAGGGCCGTGGGGGTGTTGTGGTTATTCCAGCAGGACTAAAGCAATGAATTAACCACTCCCATCCCAGGACAGGATGTTATTCCAGGGGGGTTAGAGCAACAGCCACATCCCTGGGTCAGGGTGGGGGACACTCAGAGAGGAGGAGAAGTAATTTCCTGACCCCCCTGGCACCTCTGGCACAGAGTGATGGTGACGGAGGGGGGGGTTATTCCATTGGGTTTAAAGCAATAAATTAAGGACTGGAGACACGCTGTTGGTGTTGAGGGTGGGCAGCATCCCAGAATGGGATAGTGGTGCCAGGAGGGCTTATTCCAAGGGCATTAAAGCAGTAACCTGAACTTTGGAGACAGGGTTATTCAGAGGGGACTAAGGCAATGAACTCCCGACACCTCTGGGTGCGGGTGGTGGTGCCAGGGTTTATTCCAAGGACCTAAACACACGGCCTGACCCCCCCAGGAGTGGGTGGTGATGACGTGGGGGTTATTCCAAGGGATTTTAGGCAAGTCTGTGGCCAGAGTGTGGGAGTATTTAGAGGGGTACAAAGTATTGCCCTGAGACCCCAGAAGCAGGGGGTGGTGCCAGGTTTTATTCCAAAGGGAAAAACCAACAGCTTGACCGCCCCCAGGACTGAGTGATACTGGGGGGGGGGCAAGGGGGAAGTTTGTTGTAAGGGGTTTTAGGCAACAGCCTGACCCCCATGGACAGCGTGAGGGGCTATTCCAAGGGGGCCAAATCAACAATCCGACCTCCCTGGGAGGAGGTGGTGGTGAGGAAGGATTGTTTCCCAAGGGAGTTAACCTGGGGAAGGGGTGGCAGGTATTTGGGGGGCGGAGGGGGGGGGGGGGGGAAATCAACCACCCGAGCTCTCAGGGGCACAGGAAGGGGCTGAGACCGGCAAGGAGGGGGAGTGGGTGTCTTCAGGAGGAGGGGGGCCGCCGGGATTACTCACGATGAGCGGCAGGGAGCAGACGGTGAAGAGGACGGTCATGAGCCCGAGCAGGACGAGGTGGTCGAGCTCCTCCATGCGGGGGGCGGCGGCGGCGGCGGCGGCGGCGGCGGCGGGGGGGGCCCCTCTGCGGGGCTGCCGCCGGGCCATGCCGTACAGGTGCCTCATGCTGCTCACGTTGCAGGCGCCGATGGCCAGCACCAGCAGCCCCATGAGGCCGGCGTAGAGCACGGGGAAGCCCAGCTCCCGCGGGCCCCCGCCGGCCATGCGGATGAAGCACCACGTGCCCGGGCAGTACTGGATGGGCACCCCGAAGCCCAGCAGCGGCAGGGCGCAGAACAGGGCGCACAGCCCGGCCGCCGCCGGCCCCAGCGTGACGCCCAGCCGGCGGGTGAGGTGCCGCCGGTAGAAGTAGGGGTGCCCCAGGGAGAGCCAGCACTCCAGCGCCATGGCCAGCAGCAGCAGGGTGGGGGCCAGCCCGAAGAAGGCCATGAGGAAGGCGAAGAGCTGGCAGAGGACGCCCGGCTCGTCCTCGCCGCGCCCGCCCGGCCCCAGCTCGCTGAGGCTGCGGTTGTAGGCGTAGGCGGCCAGCACGATGGGGCTGAGCAGGCACTTGCCCAGCAGGTCGGTGACGGCCAGCACGGTCACCAGCACGTAGAACGCCGAGACCCGCGGCGGGCGGCCCCCGGGCGACCGGGAGCGCCGCCGGTGCTGGCCCAGCAGCAGCAAGGCCAGGACGTTCCCCAAAAGCCCGGCGGCGAACAGCACCGAGCTGGGCACCGCCGACTGCCCGCTCTCGATGTAGCGGCTGCTGCGGCACTGGTAGCCCTTCGCCTCCATCGGGATGGCCCGCGCCGGGATGCGCCGCAGCGGGACGGGATGTCCCGTTCCGCGTTGGGATGTCCCGCTCCGCACTGGACCGAGTGGGATGGATGTCCCGCACCGCACCGGGATGGGATGATGTCCCGCACTGTCGCGGGATGGAATGGATGTCCCGCACCGCCACGAGATAGGCTGGATGTCCCGCAGCGGGATGGGGTGGATGTCCCGCACCGCACCGCGCCGCGGCTGCCGGCGGCGACTGTCCCGGCGGGGCGGGCGGCCCCCGCGGAGAGAGGGAGGGAGGAGGGAGAAGGAGGAGGAGGGAGAAGGGAAGGAGGTGCGGTACAGCCGGGCACGGCCCCCGGGACGGCCCCTTCTCGCCGCCCGGCCCGCCCCGGCCGTCGGAGCGCGGCTGCGGGGAGGGGGGATGCGCTGCTCCCCCAGGAGAGCCGCGGCTCCCGAGAAGAGGGGAGGGGAAGGGGCCGGGGGGGAGTGCCGGGGGGGGTGCGGGGGAGGGGCTCTGGGATGAGACACTGGAAGGGAGGGAGTTGGAGCTGAGCCCCTCTGGAGCGGGGAGTGCCAGAAAGGGGACGGGGCTGAGCCCCGGGGGTGGTCACGGGTAAGGGAGTTGGGTCCAAGGACGGGGCGGGGAGTTATCGGTAAAGGGGGCTGAGACTTTAGGGGGGTGACAGAGGGCAGGGGGCTGGGGCTGAGCCCCCAGGAGGTAAAACAGGGCAGGGGGCTGAGGCACCCTGGGGGTGTCACAGGGCTTGGAGCAACCTGGTCTAGTGGAAAGTGTCCCTGCCCATGGCAGGGGGATTGGAACTGGATGATCTTTCGGGTCCCTTCCACCCCAAACCAGCCTGTGATTCTATGACATGATTCAACCCGACCAGGTACCACTTCTACCTGCACCTCATCCCACACACCTGCCGTGTGGTGGTACCTCTGTCCACGTCAGTGCTCCTCTGTCCCATCAGCAAAATGCAGGAAAAGCCCCCAGAGCTTCTTCCAGGAAAAGCAGAGGCCTTTCTAACCACAGAAACTCCACTGCACGACACACACACCACCTTGCAGGATGCATGTGATGATGAATAAGCATGAAACCCTGTCTGTCTGCTTTCAGACCCCTCTTTGCTATGCTGGGTGAGTGTACACGAAGCACAGGGAAGTATCAAGATGACAGGAGGGGTGGGAAAGGAAGTCCAAGGGGCCAGACATCAGCATGGCATGTTTTAGTGATAGGCTGCAGTTCTTACACTGTGTGAAGGGAACTCGTGACTTCTCTGGCAGAGAGGGCAGGGACTGTTTGTGGCTGTGCCAGTGAAAGTCCCAGTTCTGGAAGGTAAAACTCGTTGCGGCTCAGCTCTGGACAACGGTTGGTGTTGAAGTGCTGCCCTCACTAGGGCTGAATGTGAACCCAGTAGCTGCTTCCTGCCTGGGCCCCGGGGGAGAGGAAATTCAGCCAGCCTTGGGAAGGAATCCGAGTGATATCCCCCAAAATGATGCCTGGAAAACACACCCTCTGCCTTCTTTAGCTGGCCCAGCACCCCGGGTCCTGGAGCAGCACCTACCAACTGCTGTCTGCTCCCTGTGGTGATCCCAGAAGTGGGGAGCAGGGGGAAGATGTGGTGGGATCCCTCAGGTTTTCCCCAAGGTGAAGATTGGGAAGCAGACCTCTGGAGAGGTGATTTACCAGGAGGACAATGCCTGTCCTGATCCCTGGAGTAGTTAGTGCCAGCCCTGCTGCAGTGCTCCAAGTGCCAGGGAGGATGCATTGGCACAGGTTGCCCAGAGAAGCTGTGGCTGCCCCATCCCTGGAAGTGTTCAGGGCCAGGTTGGATGGGGCTTGGAGCAACCTGGGATAGTGGGAGGTGTCCCTGGCCATGGCAGGGGTATAGAATGAGATGGGCTTTAAGGTCCCTCCCATCCCAAACCATTCTGAGATTCTGTGGTGATCCCAGGGATGTGCTGCCAGCTGAGCACTGACACTTCACACTCCAGCATCTCTTTTGATGGGGAAGAGACACAAGTGCTGGGTGTCTCCACCACCACTGGGAAGTTCCTTGACAGCCACCAGAAGGCCAAATTCAGCAGAAATGGGTTGCTTGATGAGAGGAGGAGGAAGAACTGTGACAAAAATAGCCCCTTTTGGAAGTGGGTGTTGCCCCTTGTTGCACCATCTGTGGCTGGAAACTCCAAAGGACCAGGTGATGTTGCTGTTCCTGTCCTTGCACTGCTCGATGGGGAAAGCCTGGCATGGAGAAGGCTTTTTGGGACTATCTGGCCATGCCTCCAAGGCACTGGGTACAGGCACAGAGGCAGCCACGCAGGGCAGATGTGGCTGGGGGTGTCAGAGCAGCCTGGCAGGGGCAGGCTTTCACCTGATCCCAATTCCTTCCCCGGCTGCTGGAGGGTCTGACGCTGAGCACAGCTGGCCACAGTGACCATCCTCCTCTGTGGTGAGGGATGGATCCCCCTCGGAGCCGGGATAGGTGTTCAGCCGGGGGTGGAACCGCAGACATGTCCCTCCTCCACCTCCCCGGGGAGAGAACCCAGCGTGGGCAGCCAGATGCACCGCGTCCCCTTTGCTTTGGGTTCATTTGCATAAACTGCAGCTATTTGGGGAGGGGAAAACGATTTTGAGAGAGTCTCATCACCCCGTATGACGAATCCCTCCCGTTCGTCACGCTTCCGACGTGACCCCCTTCTCGCCGGTCACATTCCAGAATAAAAACAGCCCAAAGCGGAAGAAAGAGCAGCCACAAACCCCAGAAACAAATGAGGAGCTGGAAAAACTTGAAGAACCCACAAGGAATTTTAGTTGTTTGGGGTTTTTTTCCAAAGCTTTTGCTGGCTCCCTACGGCTTCTCCTCGCCAGCCAGCGGTGAGGGTGGAGAAAGGGTGCCTATTCCACCGCTTTTCCCTGTTATTGCCAAGCCAGGCTATTCCCAAAGAGCCGCTGCTGCCCGGAGAAGCCGCGTCCGCCTGCTCTTTGTCAGCGGCACAGCCCGGGGCGGCCGCGCTGGGATTTTCTCGCCTTCCTCCAGCTCAGCGCTCCCTTTGGAAGTGTTTGTGGCAGTGTCTGAATAACCTAATTTAGAGCTCGTTAGACGCGGAGGGTTTTGGCAGCGGCGGGAGCCGGATGGAGGGATGCGACTGGCCGGGAACGGCGGCTTTGGCAGCTCGTCCTGGATATTCGCACGCGGAGCAAACAAGGCTGGGATAGTCCTGCGGAGAAGAGCCAAGCTCTCCCCTCCCCGGGAGCACTGGATTAACACCGGCTGGTGCTTCCTCACTCATCCCAGCCTTTCTCCCCTTCTTGGGAACCAGAGCATCGCTTTCCCCTCCCCAAGTGTCCTTTCCCACGTCTTCCCCAGCTCCGGTTTCCCCAGACTAAACACCCACCAGGCTTTAAGCCTTTCACTCTTTCCAGGCGGCGGGATTTGGGGATTCACAGCTCCCCAGAGTGGGCGGGTGGGTGTTCCCGTTGTCCAAATGATGCACTGACAGGTTGGGGAGGCACCCGGGGTCCCGTGTCCTGGGATCGGAGCACAGGGATGGGGAACCCCCACGGTGGTGATACCCCGGCGTTTTTCCTCGGAGAATTGTGGGATTTCTTTGCTGGGAAGATGCACCTGGCATCTTAAACACACCCAAATATCCTGATTTAAATTGACAGGTAGAGGCAGGTCTGGCCTCTGTGTCCCTCCATCCTGACTGTGACAGTGTCCCCAGGAGAGGGGAGTTTTGGGGGGCTGCTCGGTCCCTCGGATTTGGGAAGACAACAGACCCGCTCTGAGTCACCGGGTGAAATCCCGCCGATTGTTTCCAGCTGCGCTGTTGCAGCGGGCTCGTCCCAGAGGAGAAAATAGCCCTTGGGAAGCTGGGAATTCTGCCGAGAGCTGCGGGCCCATCCCATGGAGGGTCCAGGGGCTGCAGCCACCTCCTCCCGCTGCGTTTCAGGGGGCTGCATCCTGCCAGGTCTGCCAAAGGGAGGAAAACAACGGGAAAGAAAGCAGCCCTGGGGTGGGAAGGCGTTGGGCAGGAAGGGGGCTATGGAGCAACGCTTCTCAGTTGCACAAGCCCTGCCCGGAGCGGGGTTTGTCCCAGCCGTGGGATGACCGGAACGGGCAAGGAAAGTGGTTTGGGCTCGGTGGCGTTTCCAGCGCAACCAAGGGAGGGTCACGGGGCGGGTGCACGGGTGGGAGTAGGGAGGGTGCCGGTGGGTGCAGGGAGTGAGGGGAGAGGGCTTGGGATCAGGGCACCGGGAGGGAGAGCAGGAGGGGATCACTCCTGGGATGGGGAGGAAGCGTGGGTTGAAGGGGGAGAGGGAAGGAAAGAAGGAAAGGAAATTTCAGGAAAGGAAAAGAAATTTCAGGAAAGGAAAGGAAATTTCAGGAAGGGAAGGGAAAGGAAGGGGAAAAGGAAAGAAAAGGAAAAAGGAAAGAGGAAAGGAAAGGGAAAATGAAAGGAAGGAGGAAAGGAGGCACCTGTGCGTGTGTGAGTGTTCAGGTGTGTGTGTGTCTGGGCTGTCTCTGATCATCACTTGTGGGTGCCGGGCTGTGCCACCCGTGGGTGTGAGCAGGGATCACCGGGGGGTGCGGGGGCACAGCGAGGGGTCCCGCTGCTCCGTGGGAGCGTGTCCCGGTCCGTGGAAGCGTGTCCCGGTGCGCAGCCCCGCGCGGGCGGCAGGCGGCGGCAGCGGGCAGCCGGGATCGCTGGAATCGCCGGGATGCGGGACCTGGTCCCGCTCCCCGCCCCATCCCCGCCCATCCCATCCTTCCCCGCCCATCCCATCCTTCCCCGCCCGGCAGCGCTGCCGAGCGCTGCCCGACTTATCCCGCAGCCGCAGCTCCTTGGCCTCCCTCCTCTCCTTCTTTTCTTCCTCTTTCTCTCTTTATTCCTTCTCTGCTCTTGGGAGACCCCACCTGCAGAGCTGCCTCCAGCTCTGGGGAACAACAGCAGAAGGATGTGGAGCTGCTGGAGCGAGTTCAGAGGAGGCCACGGAGATGCTC